CTCCGACCTAAAGAGCATGAAGAATTAAAGCGGCAAGTAAAAGGATTAATGGCCAGGGGATTCATAAGACCAAACGTAAGTCCATGTGTGGTTCCAACTTTGCTCGTACCAAAGAAAGATGAAACTTACAGGATGTGTATTGATAATAGAGCAGTGAATAAAATCATTATCCACTATCAACTCCCTATTCCTCGGATCGAGGACCTCTTTGATTAATTGCAAGGGGTGAAATTTTTTCCAAAATAAATCTACGTAGAGGCTATCACCAAATTCAAATCCGAGAGGGTGACGAATGGAAGACAGCTTTTAAGGTCAAAGATGATCTATTTGAATGATTGGTGATGCCGTTTGGCCTCTCCAATGCCCCAAGTACTTTCATGCAGTTAATGAATCAGATATTCCAACCATTCCTGTGCAAGTTTGTGATCATCTACTTTGATGATATCCTTATTTACAGCAGCGACCTTCATAGCCATTTACAATACGTACTTATGGCAGGTGCTTAAGGTGTTATGGAAAGAAAAGCTATATTGCAATCCTCATAAGTGTAAATTCCTAGGCAAACACATTAAATTCTTGGGGTTTATACTATCTGCAGCCGGAATTGAAGTTGTATGGAGAAGATCGAAGCTATTGTGAGCTAGCCTACACCGCAATCCTTTACCGATGTGCGGAGGTTCCATGTTTTGACCTCATTTTATCATCGGTTCATTCAGAATTTTAGCACCCTTGTTGTTCCACTCACAGAAGTTTTGAAGGTAGACAAGTTCCTCTGGACAAATAAAGTTGAAAGTAGTTTTGAACGTCTCAAGGAGAAAGTGACCACGACATAAGTGCTTTGACTACCTGATTTCGACAAGCTGTTCCAAGTCAACTGTGATGCATCTAATGTGGGGATTGGAGACATCCTAAGCCAAGAAGACCATACCATAGATTATTTCAGTGAAAAGTTGAATGACTCGCGACAAAAATATTCTACCTACGACAAGGAGTTTTATGCTATTGTATGGTCTCTCCATCACCGGAGCCACTATCTTATAAGTAAAGAGTTTGTTCTCTTTATCGATCATGCCGATTTGAATTTCCTCAGTAGACAGAAGAAACTTCGCGGTAGACACGCAACGTGGGCTAAATCCTTAGCCGCATTCCACTTTATTTTAAAGCACAAGTCGGGCAAGCTGAATCAAGTGGCGGATGCCTTAAGTAGGCGGTATGTATTAGTTCAAGAAATGCAAGCTAAGCTCATGGGTTTTGACTCCATTCGAGAACTACATGCACATGATATGGATTTTACAAATATTTGAGAGAAATGTCAAAACCATGCACATCAATATTTTCAAATCCGAGATGAGTATTTATTCTTCCACAATTACATATATGTACCTAGGTGTTTGCTCAGAATTATTTTAATTTCAGAATGCCATAATGGCGTCTTGGCCGACTATTTAGGTCGAAATAGAACCTTGGTGTTGACCTCTTTTTTGACTCGACCTCACTTCCTTGGACCCATGGGACTAGGTTGACCAGGTCAACTGTTGACTTGGTCAACCCAAGTCTTAATGGGTCAATATTGACCCATTAAGCCCATTAAGAGCCCGGAGGTCCACACTTGGCTCTGGTCAAGGAGAAGTTCTATTATTTTGCTCTGCCTAAGGATTTATGCAAATATGTGAAAGGGTGCAGAATCTGCCGACAAGCAAATACTATAGGAACCAATGCAGGGTTGTATTTGCCTTCGCCCGTTCCTCAAGTACCATGGGAAAATGTCTCAATGGATTTTGTGATGGAGTACCCAAAACTCAAAGAAATAAAGATTCTATCATGGTGTTTTTAGACCGAATCTTAAAGACGACCCACTTTGTGGCTTGCAACAAGACCCTTGACGTCACTCAGATTGGTGATCTCTATTTTAAAGAAATAGTTTGTTTTCATGGAATTCTTAGAACCATCACCTCGGATCGTGATGTCAAATTTTTAAGTCATTTCTAGAAAACTTTGTGGGGAAAAATGGGAACCCGACTGCAATTTAGCTCGGTCGCGCATCCCCAGAAGGATGGCTAGATAAAAAATGTTAATCAGAGTCTGGGAAATCTTCTACGCTGATTTGTAGGAAAGAATCTTCAACAATGGGATTTAATTATGGCTCAAGTCGAGTTTGCATTCAACCGGTCCCCTAACAATACTACTCAACACAGTCCCTTTGAAATTGTCTATGGAAGTAATCCCTTGACACCTTTTGACTTAATTCCTATTTTTTCCCCCTCATCCAATAGTTCTGAAGTGAATAGAGGAGCCTTGAAATAAAGAAATTACACCAGCAAGTCCTCAAACAGAATAGCAAATACCAAGTAAAAGCCAATAAACACTAGAAAGCCATCCAGTTCCAAGAAGGAGACCTCGTCTGTATCAGAATGAGGAAAGAGTGATTTCCTCCCGAACCCTTCGGGAAGATTAAGCCAAAGGCCGATGAACCTTTTAGAGTCTTCAAAAAGATAAATGACAATGCATATCAAATTGTTTTGTCGGGTGATTACAATGTTTCAGCTGTGTTTAATGTAGCTAACTTAACCCCTCATATTGAACTTGAGTCTTCTCCCACCCCGGTAGAATGATGCTGGAGCGTCTACTTACAAAGTTTAATTCCTGTGTTGCTATGCTGTGTGCCAGCGGTGTAGCCTGGCTTTGGTTTTGTCTTTCTTTAATTTATATAAATAATCCCTCTTAGAGGGAATAGAGGATTGATTTATTTTGGAGATCCTCTTTCGAGAATAAGAATTCTGCTTTTGGTATTTCTCTGTGTTTCTTTCTGTATCTTGATGTGATTGTACAGATGGTGAAAAAGAAGAGATTTAGCAGTCTGCGTGAGTGTGGGTTATCCAAGGCCAAACGGTGGTAGCTGAGTTTGGTGCCTACACTAGACGTCTTTTTTTTCCCATGTATGAGCATTTCAGTGGTGACTCCGGCCTCATGTCATGCCTTACTAAACCCTATATTGAATCATATACTAATGTAATTTATACATTAATAGCATTGATAATATTGATAGAGAGAGAGAGAGAGAGAGAGAGAGAGAGAGAGAGAGAGAGAGAAATGTGCGTGCATTGTATGTATTGATTTCATATAATTGATGAGATTGGCAACATTACTGATATTGACACCTGAAAGTCATGATTTCTTTACTGATTTATGAATGTTTTTAGTACGATTGCTTTATTTATCCCTACATCGATCAACTATTGATTCATTAAAATGATTTCTTGTTTTGTTATTGATCATTTTGAGCCTTATGAATGATAGTTAATCATCGATGCAATTGAATGTTGTTGATTATTTTGATTGAATTGATAATGCATATTGATTCTTAAAGCCTTGCATTAGAAGCTTTAGTGAATTTGAGTTAGTACTTGACTTTTCAGCTCATTATATGAATTTTAATGGTTTCAAGTCATTTAAGGGATCATGACCACGTGAAGTGAGGTTGTCAGATATCCTTATATTTTTCTTTTGATTTTATTTTATGTTTTATTTTATTCTTTTGTAGTCAATAGCTATGAATAGATTATTGATTTCACTGATCTTCTAACTGTTGTATATGATTTTAGGAGAATTCATAGAATGAAATATTATGATGTATATTATTTTAATTGTTTTCAATAGAGTAATTTATATTGATGAATTCATATAAGCTTTGATTGATTACTTGAGCGATTAAAAATATGTAATTCTTTCAAATTTGATCTTGAGATGTGACAGTGAGAGTAGCAAAGATATTTATAATTTAATATATATAAAAATACTATTAGTCGTGTAGCGTCGCACCGCTTAGACCTAATATCACAGTGCTACATGTTAAATTCAAAATTACTGTAGAAAAAAACTCAAACGCTGCACCAGCGATTTCTTACACCATTGTGCTTTCAAGCATAGTGCTATTGTGCTTTCAAATAAAATGCCGCAATATTACAAATCACAACGTCGAAGCACTCTAATTGAAACAACAATTTAATTTTTTTTAAGAGCTTTTATATTTTCATATTTTCATGTTATTATAGCCTCTACCTTCCGAGAGATTATTTTGTGCGGACACCGGACGGTTCACACTCAGGTACCGATCGGTATCGAGTAGCGCTCAGTAGGGGTGTAAATTTTTAACCCGACCCAGAAAAATCTAGGTTCGGGTCAACCCGTTTGTGAAATGGGTCGGGTTCAGGTTCAATAAACTGACCCGTTATAAAAATCAGGTTGGGTTCGGGTTGACCCGAGAACCCAAAAATGATTCGAAATTAACCTGGAAATAGTCCCTACCCGGTTGCCCGCGTCGACTGCCCGGCTGTCTAACGCGTCAAGTCGCGTCGCGTTGCTTCACCGTTCGGGAATCACGATGCGTAACAGGCTGCTAGCGCTCTGTTGCCCGCTTCGGCTTCGTCGTTTGCGGTTCGCGTGCCAGCACGGAAACTGGCAAGGCCTGCTTCGGCTTCGCCACTCGCGTGCCAGCGTGGCAAGGCCCACTTCGGGTTCAGTCGCGTTGCTTCGCCACTCACGTGCCGCGGTGCCGCTGCCGCCTGCGCCTTGCCGCTGCTCTCCTGCTGCTGCTGCCGGCTGCCACTTCGAGTTTAACTAACCGGGTCGGGTCGTGTCAACCCATGCGGGTTGGGTCCGAGTTGAGATAGCCGAATCATTAACAAAAATTGGTCGGGTTCTGGTTGACCCGTTTAGAACTGGGTCAACTCGGGTTCGACCCGAACCCGAACTTGAACAAGCTGATATTAAATGAACACAAACATGAACACTCACATACTCGGCTCGGCTCGATTCATTTGTAGCCCTACCAGCCATCCCTACCCCTCCATCAAAAGTGAGTTCTCTGTCATTTTAAATTTCACAAATTAAATACAAAATTTTATTTTATTGTATTTTGAATAAGTTTAACCAAAAGTTAACTAAATTTCAAAATACAAGAGAGAGAGAGGAGCGAGATGCAATGATTGATGTTTACACGCCACGGCGGGACCTCTTCGCTCCGTCGTCTTTCCCTCTTCGTTAAGACTAAACTCCAACTCTCTATCTCACCTTCTCAGTCCCTCCCATTTCCTCCTCCAGTAAATGGACGTAGAGAAAGTAAGCCTCTCCAAACATAAACTAAAACTCTTCCCTTTACAACTATTTACTGCAGTAAAGCAAGTGTCGGCGCTGCCGACGCGCTCGGTTGCCGCCGTTCTCACTCTGGCGGCGGTGGTGATGATATCGACGGTGTGGTTCCTGCCGCCAGCCACCGTCCCTGTCTCTTACGACCGCAAGGCCATCATCATCGAAGGACAGCGTCGAATCCTCTTCTCCGGCTCCATCCATTACCCTCGAAGCACACCCGAGGTGGGCTTTCAAGAAAACTACCTTGTTGCTTCGTCTCCAAAAATCCAAATCTTCCGTGATTTTTTGTGCTCCAGATGTGGCCGGGCCTTGTCAAGAAGGCAAAAGATGGCGGCTTGGATGTGATTCAGACTTATGTGTTCTGGAATGGCCACGAGCTTTCACCTGGAAAGGTAATTTGGTGCCTAAAGGAGCCTTTTTTTATTTTTCATTGGAATTTAATCGAACATTTTACAGACGTGAACTTGTAAGATTTTTTTTTTTCTTTTGTAATATTACTTCGAGGGAAGATACGACTTGGTTCGATTCATCAAGGTGGTGAAGGATGCTGAGCTTTATGTGAATCTTCGTATTGGGCCTTACATTTGTGCTGAGTGGAATTTTGGGTATTTTTCTAATTGATTTTTCTAATGTGAGAGATGAAGTTTATATTATTTTATTTTATTTTTTGAAGTTTATTCTGATGAGTTCTCTTATTGTTCCATCGACAGGGGATTCCCTGTCTGGCTCAAGTATGTTCCTGGCATTAGTTTCAGAACTGACAATAAGCCTTTTAAGGTATACTTGTTTTTTCCTGTATTTCATGCCTCAATTATTTATTCAATTCATTAAACTGATTGCCTTTTCGGGTCGACAATTTTGATGGCGAAAAGGTAGCAATGCAAAGATTTGTTGAGAAGATTGTTTCCATGATGAAGTCTGAAAAGCTATTTGAGTGGCAAGGTGGGCCAATCATACTTACTCAGGTATTCCATATCTTTTCCTCGTGATGAAAACACTCAAAGGATCAATTGAAAAAACTAATTAAACTTTCATTTCCATGTGAAGATTGAGAATGAGTTTGGCCCAGTTGCAGAATATGGAGGAGCAGATGATCTTTCTTATGCACAATGGAGTGCGAAAATGGCAGTTTCACTTAACACTGGTGTGCCATGGATTATGTGCAAAGAAGATGATGCTCCTGATCCAATTGTATGTCTATATTTAGTCCATCTGCCTCTATCTTTATCTACTCTTTTTGTTGGAAATGTAGATACTAATGCAAATTCTATAAAGATGAGAAGAAGTATTATAAAGATAGGTTTAATCATTGTTTATGGAACTTTGTAGCTATTTAATTAATTAAAAATAGTTTCTTTTGTACTTTATCTACTACTAATAATTAACTTTCTAAAGAATGCCCCACTTGTTTTGTTGTTGATTTTAGCTCCTTTCATGGAGATTATTGTACTGTATTCACTTATTTACATTTTCTTTTTGATTTTTTTTATTCAGATACTGGTTTTTTAAATTGATTTGGTCTTTTTTGTTTCCTTTTCTTTCAATTCAATATGTTTTTCTTGGATCTTTGGTGGCAGGTTAACACCTGCAACGGATTCTTCTGTGATGGATTCTCTCCTAATAAACCATACAAACCTGCTATGTGGACTGAAGCTTGGACTGGCTGGTAATTGATCACTTCTTTCAGCTTATAAGTTCAGCTTGAATTTTTTTCCTTGCAAGTAGTTTAATATAGTCTTATGAATGAAATATTTATGTAGCATCTCATTGTAAACTTTGTAATGGAGGTTCACTTCGTATGGTGATCCCCTTCCCCACAGACCTGTTGAAAATTTGGCTTTTGCGGTTGCAAACTTTATCCAGAAAGGTGGATCATTTGTTAACTACTACATGGTAAGAAATTCTGGCATTTGATTGATATAATGATTTTTGATGAATCTTATGGTTTTCATTGTATTTTTTGTCCTTTTAGTACCATGGAGGAACAAACTTTGGTCGCACATCCAGTGGTCTATTTGTTGCAGCAAGCTATGACTATGATGCTCCAATTGATGAATATGGTATACTGAAAATTTTTACTATATGACATCTATGAAGTTAATAAAATACATTTGTTGCTTCATATTCATATTTTCTTTATCTTATTAGCTTCTTATGAGATTGGAGGTTCTTTATCAATAAAAAAAAGATGCTTTTTAAGTACTTTGTGGCATATAGTTATTGAAATACTAAATTTTGTTGTTAGTAGACATCTCTGAATTTGCTTAATCTTGTTATTGTTTACTTCCATCTGGTTATTTGAAAATTATATTTGATTGCTATTAGACATTCAGTAATAACCATATATAAGGAAGCAATAAGTTCATTAATCTGCGTTATGCTATAATAAATATTTCGTTTTCTTTACACATAGCCTTCAGAGTTTACCCTTGAATATTAAAATTATATCATTATTATTTAATTCTTATTTTAATGTAATCAAACTGAAACTAAATATCAATCATTCTTTCTTGCATTAGTGGCAATTTTCTTGCATTGTAACAAGAAATGGTTTTATATATAATTTATTAATTTTTCATTCAAAATGTTTTTTGAAAAGAACAAGTGGGAAAACTTCATAAAAAATTGACAAAGAGAAGAACATCTTGACATGTTGATGTGGGCCATCTCTGCCATCAACCAAACGCTACACGTCAGCCTAAGCACCTCACCACTCCTACCTACTGCTACTACTTATAGTTTTAATACCTGAATATACAATATAGTATAGAACTAACCTTTTTTTGTGTTTTGCTTGATTTATTATACAGGATGCTCCCAGGGGAGCATAAACTTACACCAATCTGTAGTTGAAGAATTATCATGAAATATTATCAGTTATCCCTTTCGTTTCTATTTTTTTGTTTTCCCTAGTCTTGTTGTGATCTTAATCTACTACCACACCATATTGGTATTAGAGCCATCGTTGCAGGGGGTGAATGGAGGAAGACAGCAGGCAACAGGCAGTCGACGGCGATCGGAGTCTAGAGGTCTTGTGGGCGGCGCAAGCCAATCTCACATGACATGTTGAAAAGCTTACGGCGGACGTTGCAAAACTATCTGCTAAAATGCGACGCGGACTGTATCAAATCAAGACATGGGGTCATCTTCATCTAGTAGTTCCAATACCCACACCAAATCTACAGACGACTAATATGAGGGAACAAATTTCAATCGACCCATACACTTGCTTCCAGAAGATTCGATTTTCGAGGGAGGAGGCGAGCGGCAATAGCGTTTTGAAATATACGAGTCTACGGACAGGGAGCTGCCGTAGTATTATGACCCCAGCCGAAGGTTTGGAGGACCACCACAACACCAAGGAGAATTTCATGTCAAACTGGATATACCGTTATTCGATGGACAGTTGCACATTGAAGATTATCTGGATTGGGTGAGAGTTGTTGAAACCTTCTTCGAGTATATGGAGATATCACCAGAGAAACAAGTTAAGTATGTGGCTTGTAATTTGAAAGGAGATGTTAGTGTTTGGCGGCAGCAACTTCTACAATCATGTTGCTGAGAAGGAAAGGGCGAAGTTCAGAGTTGGTACCAGATAAAGCAAAAGCTACGAGGTAATTTTCTGCCCACAAATTTTGAGCAAATTTTGTACCAATAGTATCAACACTACACTCAAGGAATTGGAGTGTTATCGATTATACAAAAGAATTTTATAGACTAAGTACCCCTACAATAATTTGAATGAATCCGACAACCAGATGGTAGCAAGATATATTGGGGGTTTAAGAGAGGCCATTTAGGATAAGCTTGAATTAAGCTCTGTTTGGTCTGTGTCAAAACCCGTGAACTTTTCCTTAAAGGCGGAACTCCATATTAGTCGGCATTCACGTAGCCACAACAGAAGAGGCTACGGGGAATACTCAACGGACCCCCAGAAAATGTTTGTTTCTGCTCAGACTAGCACGCTCCTAAGAAATATGGTGAGCATACTTGCCGCTGTGCCACCCCAAGGTGCTGAGAGTAGAATTCCGAATAGAGCTAAGGCACATGTGACTGAAAATCCATATACTAAACCATCAAATTTCAAATGTTTTAGATGTTTCTAGCTATGCCACAAGTTTAATGAATTCCCACATAGGAAATAGGTGCAAGCGTTGGAAGGGGAATACCAAGACAATAAGGCTGCCGAGGTTGTTAATGATGAATTGGAGACAGGGGAATTTGTGGGTGATAAAGGTGAACCAGGCGTCTGTGTGCTTCAAAAGCTATTGTTAGCTCCCAAACAGCCAGTCCATTCTCAGCGAAATGCTATTTTTCGAACTCGGTGCACTATTAGTGGCAAGGTTTGTGATTTATTGATTGACAATTGATGCACTGAAAGCATAGTATCCAGAGCTATTATCCAAGCCTTATGTCTCAAGGCGACAAAACACCCCATCCATACAAGATCAATTGGGTTAAGAAAAATATGGACATCATTGTCTCCAAAATGTGGAGAGTGACATTTTCTATCAGCAAGCACTATGTCTGCGAAGTCTTATGTGATGTCCTCGACATGGACGTGTGTCACCTTATTCTTGGTCAGCCATGGCAGTTTTATGTTGCGACTTAGTTTTCAAATCTTTACTTTTATATCATGTGAGTTTTTGATGATACCAAAATATTATTGTGTTGATTATTTTTTTCTTCTAGCACATATTGGAAAAGTTTTGTTTGTGTATACTAATGTTTTCAGGGAAATTATACTTTAGATTGCTGAAGACTTCAAGACAGATTAAATTAGGGTTTATTATAATTGAAGTATATACTTTTTTTTATTTTTCTTGAGTTTGAGAGAGTGTGATTGTAATTGGGTAACCGTGCACACACACTGGGAGAGTGAGTCAAAATTTATATTTTTTAAAACTAATCATACAGTATGATTTTACGATTTGACCTATGTGTTCCTCCAGAAAACAGTTAATCGAATCATGCCTTAGAATTTTTTGATTGAACTATTCATACTGTATGAAGTTACATTCGTACAGACTACGTCCAGAGTACGAAATGGCTACGTACTAGTTCGTCCGAAATGAACTCACCATTTTCTAAACTAATTGTACTGTACGAAATAAGTTTCGTACAGATGACGTCCAGAGTACAAAATGGGTGCGTACCAGTTCGTTCATAAGAACATGCAAATTTTTTGAACTGTTCGTATTGTACGAAATTGGGTTCGTATAGTCGATGTCCAGAGTACGAAGTGGACTCGTCCATTTTTGTACCAAATGAAGCATGATTTGGTTAAACTGATCGTACTATACAAAATGAAGATTGTATAGTACACAAACCAGAGTACGAAATGCATTTGTACAAAATCGTACCTGATGCGTGTTCATTTCTTGAACGGTTTATACAGTATGATGTTAGTTCATACATGCGACTAAAAGAGTATGAAAACAAGTTCGTACAAAATCGTACCAGGATTTTTGAACTGTTCGTACATACGAAATACGATCTTACTGTACGATCTAATCAATCAAATTGAAATTTTTAGTTTTTTGGATGGCTTTTCTTGTCCTTTCTATATAAGGTCCTAAAAATTGACTGCCCAAGAACTCCTATTGTGAATTTCTTTTGAGATTGAACTTGGAGAGTGTTTGGGAGAGTGTCTTGGGTTTGGAGAGTGAGAGATCTCTTAAGAGGGATTTGTGAGGGGATTCCCAAGGTTGCCCAACGGTGAGGATCTTGCTTGTTCTTCAATGTTCTTCCCTACTTTCTTGAAAACTCTTGAAAGAAGATTTTCAAAGGAGCGCAGGTACTCTACCGACACCAGGAGGGTGTGAAAGGACGACAGTTCTCTGTCGACACCAGGAGGGTGTGAAAGGATGACGGTTCTCTGCCGATATCAGGAGGGTGTGAAAGGAAGTCGGTTCTCTGCCTTCATCAAGAGGGTGAGAAAGGACAACGGTTCTCTGCCGCACTAGAGATTGGTGGAAGAGAGGGTAATTATAAGGGCTTCTCCGCCTTGTTGTGGGAGCAAAATGAGAGTCATTTTGGTATAGTACAGTACCTGAAAAGGGGGTCTTTAGGGAGTGGACGTAGGTCTAGTTGGACCAAACCACTATAAATTTCTGTGTTATTTGTTTTTACTTTTATTATTTTTTCATTGTTCTGCACTTTAATATTGTGGTTGAATAATTAATTTTGGAGAAATTTTTTATTGTGATAGAAAATTAAATCAGATTTCTAAAATTTTCAAGAGATAATTTTTAAATTATCAATTCACCCTCCCCTTTTGATTAGCATTGGGACAAATTTAATAGGTCTAACAACCTATTCAGACTTTCATTTAACGCTGGGGTAGTTTATGACGGTAGAACCAATGTTTATTCATTTGAATGGAAAGGCAAAAAGCTCAGCTTTCTCCCTGTCATGCTAGCAACAGAGCGCAACCTGCACTCACTATTGTTTTGGATAACTATTCTTCACTCCTGGCGTGGCCATACATCTCTCTTGGCAGTAGTTATGATGGACGATAACCCTGCAGCAGGCAATCGACCTATCTTTAATGATATACATTAATTATTAGCTAAATATTCTGATATAGTACCCACATAATTACCTGCTTATTTATCGCCACTTCGCTCACTACAACATCAGATGGACTTCCACCCCGATGCATCACTACCAAACCTCCCACATTACAGAATTATTTCCAAGGAGCATGCTGCCTTACTAAACATAGTCGATGAACTACTACAAAACCAACTGATACAACCCAGCTTAAGCCCATGTGTTGTTCCGACGCTATTGGTATAAAAAAAAGATGGGTCTTGGAGGATGTGCATTGATAGTCGAGCTATCAACAATTTTGGATAGCTCACAATTAAGACCCATAAAGGCATGTATGAGTGGAAGGTCATGCCCTTCAGCTTATGTAATGCCCCCTTGTCCTTCATGAGGCTAATGAACAAAGTGTTGAAACCACTCCTCGGCAAGACATGCATGGTTTACTTCGATGATATCCTAGTGTTTAGTAGCTCTATCAGTGAACACTTG